GAGTCTCCTGCCTCAGCCTCCCAAGTAGCTGGGACTATAGGCGCCCGCCACAACGCCTGGCCATTTTTTGGTTGCAGCCATCATTGTTGCTTGGTGGGCCAGGGCTGGATTCAAACCTGCCACCTTAGGTGTATGTGGCTGGCGCCTTAGCCATTTGAGCCACAGGTGCCGAGCCCAGGTGATTCTTATGTACAGACAATTTAGGAACCACTGGTGTAGGTCATGGAGATGTCAGTCTTCACTTAACTATGTAAATCCAGGAAGACTCCAGTTTGATCTGAAAGAAGCTCAAGAAGGTGTTCCCAATCCTGCATACTGCTTTGCTCCGGCTCCCAGGAAGCAAAGAGGCATCTGTTAATGTCTTAACCTAAAAGAGTGATTCTAGCTGCAGGGAAATGTCTTAACCTGAAAGAATGTTTCTAGCTGCAGGGATTTATGTGATGAACATGAGTTGTTAGGGGCAGATAAGCTTGAAGAACTGTCAAATCAAAACATATCCCAGATGGAAGCCTAATGGTACATTATGGGCAACCTCTCTGCTTCCAAAGGTGCTATGTGCCTTTAACATTTTAAAATGTAATTGTATAGTGCTAAGAGCAGGCTGGCATTTTCTGGGGGCAGGAGTTAAAGGCAGTTGAGTCCACTGGGGCAATAAAATGTGAGATTTGGAAACACCCATGAACTCATGTGAACTGTGGCACATTCCTCCTATTGATAATTCCACTCCACCCTCCTCAGTGAGGCAGACCACACGTCTGTGATATAGGTGATGTTATCTACCTGGAGGGCAAGAGGCTAGTTATGTCCCCAGATCTATGGACTGGGTAATATCACTATGTTTATTTATTCATGCCTCATTCCACAAAGGATTTGGGCTCTCTATACTGTTCTGTTAGTACTGTGGGTAATTATGCCTTATCTATAGGTTGGGTACATCCATTCTGCCAGAGATCTCAAATACTATGGGAAAAAATAATAAAAAAAAATCTCTGTCTTCTGCCTATGGTCCCATCCTGAGCTTGGCATAGATGGGAAAACAGCTGCAAGCACACAAAGCAAACCCTCTCACATGACCAACCTGGAAAGACAGGCCTCAGCACATGACACAGACTGGCACAACAGCTTACACTTGTGACCCGAACTTAGCTGAATTGGACAAACACGTGGGAAACACTGTGAAGCCCCTCTTAAGAGGCATGCTGCCCTCTGTGCCACTCAGCACGCCTGCTGTGGTAGAGTTGCGTGCCTGCTGTCTGGCTTCCATCCAGATCCCACAATATTTACCAAGGGCTTCATTGTGCTGGGAATTGTTCATAGTAAACCCAATACAGGCAGCATTCCCTGAAATTTTTTATGCTGAGGGTCTATAGGCAAATATAACCTACTGAGCTTATTTGCTTAGTATCACTTTTATTGTATTTAAAGCAAGAAGCAGCAGCAGAAGACAGTAAGGCAAGATGAAGCTAGAGGTGGAGTCCCACCCTTAGGTTGGTTTTCTGAGGAAATAGCTTTGAAACGCCTGTAGAATGGTCTTGTGCAGACATGAAAATGGCTAAAGGGACGGACTAATATTCAGGCTGAAATGATGAACACAATGACTATAAATGACTGGGTGAAGAAACATCCATATTTAATGCTTTCCTGGGGAAAAGAAAGACTATGGAATTTGTAGTATTTTATAGATCTTTCACTTTGTAGTTGTGTTACTTTGAACGACTCACTTAAACTCTCCTCATCTCTAGAATGGCAATTGTGAAGACTTGTGCACAAGGGTGAGAGAAGAATTAAATGATGTGTAACAATTTGTAACCGGAAAGTAATATCCAAATGTTAATGTTTTTACTGTATTATTACATCCATCCAGCTTGGTGGAAAGGCAGGGATAGGGGGAAAAGAGACAAAAGCTTAAGAAGAAATAGTACTTTGGTCAGACAGTGAAAAATAGGAGAGAGAGAGAAGAGCCAGAAGAGAGAGAAAAGCCAGTTAGTATTAGGAGTGGCATACAACTCTGAATGTCTGGGGGAAGAGGGCAGAGTTGGGGGTGAATGCTAGAGATCGGTAAGAGAAAAGGCTAGACGTAAGCTGAATCAGAATGCTATCAGCCTGGAGAGCTAGGAGGTTTGAATAAGTAATGGATGTTGTAGAAAATTGCTCAGTGATAGACTGTCATCTAAACTCTTGGAAGATAGCTAAGGCAGTGGCCTCTGGGAAAGGATGCATATGTACTCCCACTTTTAGACCCTTTTTTCCCTGTGTGATTAGAGGGATACTGTACTGTGAAGGGGCCACGTGGCCTCAGTGTTCTGGAGAGCAGCTGCCACAGCCACGGTGCTCTGGCTGTAATGCGTCACTTTCAGGACAGCTTTCTCTTCGTCTGGAGTTTATAAATGATCTGGCTTCCTTCATTCCAGGCATAGAGCTGCTTATCTCTGGGGTTGTAATGGATCATGGAGTGACTTCTTGGCCTCCTGGGAAAGAACAATTTGGGTAGGTCCTGCTCAGTGATAGTTCCCAGAGGATCATAGGTGCAGGTAATGCGATGAGGGCCCTGGCCACCAGAACTATAGACCACATAGAGAACCCCACACAAAAGGAACGAGGCTTCGGCATCCTGGCTTCTGCATGGAGTGTCCCATGAGTGTTCTACACCCAGTGTGCCTGGTTCAATTTTTGTGAGAACCAAATGGCCATAGGTGCCCGGCCCTGAGTGGATGGCCCAGAGCCCATGCTCATCCACAGCTAGGTCAATGTAAGTTGAGGGAGAGTGTTGGTAGACCAGTGCTCGGCCAACTCCTCCTGGCAGCAGCATTCGGTCCTCCACAGTCCTCTTCTGCAGATTATATTTTATTATCTCATTAGCAGTCCCTTGGTTGTGAAAAAATAGAAAACCTTCATAGACCACTTGGCCTGTTCCCTGCCAGGAAAGTGTGAGAATTAGCTTCCGGGGAGGTGGCTTGGTGCTGTCCTCCATGAATGCACGCATGTTCGCAAATTCCCAAACAGTGTTGTTTCTAGATCCAATTAAGAAATACACCTTTGGAGAGTTACTGATAGCATCTTTCATCCAAGAGCCATGTGTATCCATTGTTTTCTTCACTATTTTCAGAGACTTTATGCCCATCAGCATGTTGTCACAGCCTGGCCAAACAGGGGGAATAAAAAAAAGAGGTTACTTTATAAACATGAGATATCTACTTTCTAGCGGGCTCAGCGTGCCTGATGAATCCTATTTCCTTTCATCTCTAATACTGGTAGGGAATATTTTCAGTTCTACTGTGAAATGATGGTCATTAGAAAAAGACTTTCTCTTGGAAAATCTTAGAGCAAAAGTGCAATGTAGGCGTGCATTTCATTTTCTTAAGATAAAGGACATTTAAATATCATCAAAAAGCCAAGCTCATTCTCTCACCTGTTCTCACAGATTCCTTTTTTTTCTTCCTTAGTGTCTAGAATAGTTATTATACATAGATAAATCACACATTATGGTATGATTTAATTAAAGAATAAATGAATAAATGGGTCTCTGTTCAGAGAGTTACAGTAATTCCCTTCAGGATATAAACAGCTCTTTGTTGTGTCAGAGATCCTGTTCACTCTCTAGAGCACTTGGAACTGGCACCATGAGAATGAAACTAGGTGCGAGGCAACCTAATTCAATTCCATTTACCAAGAATTATTGGGTATTGACTAGGTATTAGCTTACAGTGCTCCTAGGAACAGTGTTAAGTCGAGGATAAAAAACAGAATATCATTCCCAAACCTTGAGAAGGCCATGGGCTAGAGGGGGATTCTGGTCCTTGGCACTACCATGTCATAAGAGCTCTAATACGTTGATGGATGTACAGTTCCACTAATTAGCAGACAGTGGAGACCTACAAAAGGCAAGGTACTGAGCTAGGTGTTACAAATGGGGATACAATCATAAGTTGGGCGTGGTTCTTTCTTATTAGGTATGTGACTAATTAGAATATACGTTTAAAGTGGAATTTTTTAGAAAAGGACAAAGAAGGGAGATGCCACTTGAGGCAGGAAAGAATCTGCATTTGAACTACACATTGAAGGATGGAGTGGAACACTCATAAGGGAGTGGGAGGAGCATTCCAGATAGTTAACAAAATTACTTTAGGTAAAGCGTGTAGAGTTTAAACTAATACAAGCTAAATACTTGTTATTGCCTCAAACTAGATGCATAAAGCAGTTTATTTGACCTTTGAACAACACAGGTTTGAACTGTGTGGGTCCACTTAAACAAACATTTTCTTCTGCCTCTTCCGCCCTTAAGACAGCAAGACCAGTCCCTTACGTCTTCTCCTCCTCAGCCTACTTAATTAGAAGCCGGGAAGGATGAAGACCTTTACAATGATCCACTTCCACTTAATATATTTTCTCTTCTTCATGATTTTCTTAATACCATTTTCTTTTCTCTAGCTTACTTTATTGCAAGAATAGAGTATAACATTCAAAATATATGTTAATTCAACTGTTTACGTTGCCACAAAGCTTCCTGTGAACAGTAGGCTATTTGTAGTTCAGTTTGGGGGGAGTAAAAAGTTATACATGGATTACTTCATGGAGAGTCAGTGCCAAAACCCCTATCTTGTTCAAGGTTCAACTATAGTAAACTGAAGCCAGCCATAGGCCTGGAATCTTGAGGGTGAAGCTAAGGGATGTGGATTTTTTTTTTTTTTTTTTTTTGAGACAGAGCCTCAAGCTGTCCCCCTGGGCAGAGTGCCATGGCATTACAGCTCACAGCAACCTCCAACTCCTGGGCTCAAGCGAGTCTCCTGCCTCCGCCTCCCAAGTAGCTGGGACCACAGGTGCCCGCCACAGCACCCGGCTATTTTTTGGTTGCAGCCGTCATTGTTGTTTGGCGGGTCTGGGCTGGGTATTCGAACCCGCCACCTTAGGTGTACATGGCTGGCGCCTTAGCAGGTTGAGCTATAGGTGCCGAGCCGTGGATTTTATTTTATAGTCAGGTAGGGAGCTACTAAAGCTTTTGGCCAAGAGTGAAAGAAAGGCTATTCTATAAGCTTAAGTTGGCAAGTCTGTGTACAATGGACACTTGGGAGCAAGACCAAAATCGGGAAAAGCAACTAGGAGATTATTTCCGTGATCAAAACGGGATGATAAAGGGTCTAAACCAGAAGGAAGGACGAAGAAAGATGAAGTAAATAAAAGGGGGTTTACATTTTTTCTAGCTTTTCACTGCAACTTCAGATTATTATTCTTCCACCTTCATGCAAAAACTCTTCCTTTTTTATATCTCATGCTTTGTTTCTTGTGTTGTCAATTCCTCCAAATCTTTGTCAGTTTTCCAGAACACTATCCCATATGCATAGAGCACTTCTCACCTCTCCAATTCCATGGAAACTTACCTTTAAACCACTTTAGCAACCTCTTCCAATGGCCATACTCTGGATCCCCCATCCCAGAGACTTTATGTAAGAAATCTCTAAAACTCCAATATGCCACCCACTGCAACAATATCTTATCCTCCCACTTCTCACTCCTTGGCTCTCATCACCTCTGCTCCTCAGTAAGATGCACCTCTTACTTCCTCATGCCCCATCTAGTCCCTTGTCCTCTACTTTCCACAGGCCATCAGCCCTCTGCTGACCTTATCTCCTTTCTTATCCAGCTTAGACCGCTGTAATAGCTCTCTCACCAGTACCCTCACCCTATCAACCTTTTGCAGTTTTCTTTTGGCTGGGCATGGGTTTGAAGCTGCCACCACCTCCAGTATATGGGGCCAGCGCCCTACTCCTTTGAGCCTAAGGCGCCGCCCCCACCCCATCAACCCTTTGTTGGTCCACAGTACCTACCCCACAAAAATCCCACAAAATCAGTTCAAACATCTGCCTTTGTCCTGGAAAGCTGAGTGTTGGTGCATGTTAGTTTCACTACACATAAGGAGTCTCCAACCTCAAGTGAACCCTAAATACCACAATATCCTCCACAGTTAAACCTCATCTTTCACATAGCTGTCTTACATCTCTTCTCCTCACTACCCTGGCCAGTCCCTTCACTAAGCAAATTAACTACTCTGAAAAAACAAGCGTCATCAGGCAGGAACTCACTCTACTTCCTGTCCCTCACTTATAAAACTTCAGTTGTTCTTACCATTGCTTCCCTCCCACACATTTTAGAAGAAGTTATATTGTTTCTCCTGTCTGAGACTAAAATAATCACCTTTGTTCTGATCCCATCCTTTTTTTGGCTTCCTCTACACTCCTTTGAGGAATTATCTCCTTTCTACTATCTTTAATTTATCCTTTATTACTAGCTTCTTAGTTGTAGCTTGTAAGCATCTTGCCTGTATTGAATAAAACAAAACAATTCTTCAACTAGGTACCATTTCTAGTTACTTTGCTCTCTTTCCATCATTTTTTAGGCAGCTTCTGCAGAGTAGTCTGTCTTCTTTGTATCTATGTCTTCATTTCCCATCCTTGACTTCACCACAACTCCGCAGAATCTACTCTTCCTTTTTTGGAGACAGAGTTTTACTATGTTGCCCTTGATAGAGCACTGTGGCGTCACAGTTCACAGCAACCTCTAACTCTGGAGCTTAAGCGATTCTCTTGCCTTAGCCTCCCAAGTAGCTGGGACTATAGGTGCCTGCCACAATGTCTGGCTATTTTTTTATTGCAGTTGTCATTGTTGTTTAGCAGGCCGGGGCCAGGTTCGAACCCGCCTGCCTCAGTGTACGGGGCCAGCTCCCTAACCACTGAGCTACAGGCACTGAGCCGAATCTACTCTTCATAATGTTACCAGGGACCTCCAAACTGAAAAATCAAATAGACTTTTAATGTCAATATCTTACTTAATATTTCTGGAGCATGACAGTGTGTAGTTCCTCCTCCTTAAAGATTTCTTCTCCCTTGACCTTTGTGTGTCTCCTGCTTGTTTTCCTTTGACTGCTTATGGCAGAGATAATTCTCCATGTTCATCAAATGCCCATTTTATCTTCCTCTTCCTACTTACACATACAGCTACCTTTCACAACCTCTTTTGTAGTTAGATCACATCCATTGACTTGTGTTCTGCCCAACAGGATGTGGGCAAAAGTAAGGTAAGAACTTTGTCCCTGTCATTATCTTCCCTCTCCTCTCTCCATATGCTCACCCTCCCTAATGGATCATTCACATCAGTAAACAGGCTGTAAGATCATCTGTTTGGGGAAAACCTTCTAGCATAGCCCCATTTATCTGCTTTGCTGGATAATAAAATTCCATGAAAAAGGAGTTTCCTTATCTCTACTTATCCCCTAAACTACTTTAATCATGTTTGTCCTTTATTGGTCTAAACTCTGCTGCCCACTCCCCTGACAGTAGTTTCTGTCAAGGTCACAAACAACATTCCTATTGCCAAATCAAAGGTCATTTCTGTCTTCACCCTATCAACCTTGCAGCAGAATTTGATTATTTGATCACTACCTCCCCTTGAAACTCTTTTTTTGATTCTGGGACACCTCTCCTTGTGTTTGTCCTTTCATCTTTCTGGAATTTTTTTTCTTGGTATGCGTTGCTGGTCTGCTTTTATGTGCTCTGTCCATCCTCAGACCTCTTCTTTTCTCTACCTATAATCACTGTCTAAGTCACCTCACTCTATCTCATGGCTCTGAATTCAATTGTATTTCTAAATAGTGATGACTTCTACTCTTGTATCTCCAGCCCTATCTGGATATCTACTTGTCCCTACTCAGTTCTCTTCCAAACAAACATGTCCAGAGCAGAACTCTTTTTATTTTTTTGAGATAGAGTCTCACTATGTTCCCTCATTAGAGTGTCATGGCATCATAGCTCACAGCAACCTCAAACTCTTGGGCTTAAGCGATTCTCTTGCCTCGGCCTCCCAAGTAGCTGGGACTACAGGTACCTGCCACAATGCCTGGCTATTTTTTTTTTTTTTTTGGCCGGAGCTGAGTTTGAACCCTCCGCCTCTGGTATATGGGGCCAGTACCCTATTCCTTTGAGCCACAGGTGCCGCCCTACCTGGCTATTTTTTGTTGTTGTAGTTGTCATTATTGTTTAGCAGGCTCTTAGCAGGCTCGGGCCAGGTTTGATCCCACCAGCCCTCGTGCATGTGACCAGTGCCCTAACCACTGAGTTATAGACACCGAGGCCAGAACAGAACTCTTA